TAAAATTCTAAAAATTCTAAATTATCCACCCCTTAGCATTATCAAAATTCTAAATTATCCACTCCATAAAATTCTAAAAGTTCTAAATTATCCACCCCTTAAAATTCTAAAAATTCTAAATTATGCACCTGTTGAAATTATCAAAATTCTAAATTACCCACCCCTTAAAATTCTAAAAATTCCAAATTATCCACCCCATAAAATTCTAAAAATTCTAAATTTTCCACCGCAAAAATTCCAAAAATTCTAAACTATGCCCCTCCCTAAAAAAATTCTAAACCATGCCTCCCCAAAAAATTCCAAATCTTCTAAACTCTGCCCTCCCCACAAAATTCTAAAAATTACCCACCCCAAAAATTCCTAAAAATCCCAAACCCCCCAAATACGCAAAATCCCTCATCCACCAAAATAACCAGAATCCCCCAGCCCCCCAAAAAAATCGCTAAATCCGATTCGTCATAATTAGAGTCGAAAAAATGATAGATAACGTTATTTCAAGAATTATGAAGAGTGACGCCTTGATAATTAAGCCGACTACCGTGTACCGCGAGCAGGTGTCACGAAGATGAAGCTGAACGTTCCCTGTAGCTTAATTTATCAAACTTCTCCGTCACGGAAGTGACGTGGTACGATATAAACTCAGCGAGCCGAACGAGGTGAAAGTCGAGCGTTTAATCGTGGCGGGAGATAATTTAGGCGACGCTGGAAAGCGCGAACGCGCTATTAAGCCTCGGTTTTCGCGATAATCCGTGCTGTGTTGCGTTTTTTTCCGCGTTTAATGGGCTCGATTAATGATTCATGAGCGTTTCCGACCGTTTAACGTTTTACCGAACGCGTGACGTTATGGGCTACCGATAACCTGACTAGTTGATCCCGCCATTTTATGTTCCGTGTAACTGGAATGAGACGTTTAATGTTCGACATTAAATTCCGAATTCTTAATATTTTTATGTAGGGTAGAATTGATCGTTTACGTGATTTAATGTTGGGATTATTCGGGGAAGATTCGTTTTATTGAAAGAGAAAGGACAGGAGGCAGGGAGAAGTCGAGCGTGAAGTTATTTGGTGTGCAGTTATAAGACGTGCTATTGTAACAATTCTATTGGATGAATTAATTTAATGTACAAGATAAATAATTTATTTGAGAAAGTAGAAATACAAACATGCACAGAGTTAATTTAAAAGGCAAGCTTTAGGGCGTGAATTTATTTGTTGTGCTCCTATGAGACGTACAATTGTAACAATTCTATTAGTGTATTAGGTGAATAATTTATTATAGTTCAAGATGAATATATGAAGTGAATAGTGCATTAATTTAATGTACGAGATAAATAATTTATTTGAGAAAATTTAAGTACAAACATCCATAGAGTTAATTTAAAAGGCAAGCATTGGGGCGTGAATTCATTTGTTGTGCCACTATGAGACGTGCAATTATAACAATTCTATTAGTGTATTAGGTAAATAATTTCTTACAGTTCAAGATGAATATATGAAGAGAATAGTGTATTGATTTTATCATCATGCAAGATGAATAACTTATTTGAGAAAATTTAAATACAAACATGCACAGAGTTAATTTAAAAGGCAAGCTTTGGGGCGTGAATTTATCTGTTGTGCTCCTATGAGACGTGCAACTATAACAATTCTATTAAATAAATTAGATGAATAATTTGCTATAGTTCAAGATGAAAATATGAACTGAATAGTGTATTAATTTTATCAACATGCAAGATGAATAATTTATTTGAGAAAGTTGAAATGCAAACGTCCATAGAGTTAATTAAAAAAAATTGAAATATGTATATAACAAAGTTATTACAATGAATAATAAATGTAACTGTAATGACACATTAGATGTGTTGAAGTTATTTCAATGACAATTCAGTTAAAAATGAAATAGAAATTCTACGAGTTCCTCAGAAGTCTCACTTTCCTTCATGTTTTATTGCACTTCACATTTATCTTCGTCACGGTGAGTAAATCAATGACTGTCTGACTAGTTTGTTTTCCCTTGAACGAACAGCGACGAATTGCCAGTTCAATTGACACTGCCAAGGGCGATGCGTGAAGCCAAGAATAGGCAGCAACTCTCCTCCCTGGCTCTTCTGGGTCAGGAATTCTGGAGATACCCGATGGCGAATCCGAAACCGCCTGAAAGCAGCAGTAGCAATACGTCCAGCTTAAGTAGTTTTCGTGGTGGTAAGTTTGTGAGGATAAAGCTATCACAAGAATGATTTTATAATATTTTTATTAATAGTAGATCTTTTGGTTGTAGGTAACAATAATCTCAATAACAATAATAACAATAATGTTCATACACCGACGACGGAGAGTATTGTGCTGAATCTTGCACCGATATCGTCGCATGATACACGTGAGTAGTGTTTAAGTATTTAGAGAAATCTTGGGGATCTTGGAAGTTAGTGTGCAGGACTTCGTTTGATGTGATCTAACTCCACGTGGGCTAGGTTTACATGGTCCAACTGAAGGCAACCCACTTCCACATTACCCAAGTCGACGCATAGCAACTCCACAAGATCCAGCTCCACATGCTCCAACTCCACATGACCCAACTCCACACGATTCAACTCCACGCGATTCAACTCGACGCACCCCAACGCCACATGATCCAACTCCCCGCCATCCAACTCCACGCGATCCAACTCAACGCACCCCAACTCCACATGATCCAACTCCACGCGATCCAACGCGACACGATCCACTTCGACACAATTAAATTCAACATGATCCAACTCCAAGCGATCCAACTCGACACGATCCACTTTGACACAATTAAATTCAACATGATCCAACTCCAAGCGATCCACTTCGACACAATTAAATTCAACATGATCCAACTCCAAGCGATCGACTCCACGCGATCCAACTCCACATGATCCAACTCCACGCGATCCAATTCCACGCGATCCAATTCCACGCGATCCAACTCGACGCACCCCAACTCCACATGACCCAACTCCACGCGATCCAACTCGACGCACCCGAACTCCACATAATGCGATCCAACTCTACGCACCCCAACTCCACATGACCCAACTCCACATGACCCAACTCCACGCGATCCAACTCGACGCACCCGAACTCCACATAATCTAATTCCACGCGATCCAATTCCACGCGATCCAACTCGACGCACCCGAACTCCACATAATCTAATTCCACATGACCTAACTCCACGCGATCCAACTCGACGCACCCCAACTCCACGCGTTCCAACTCGACGCACCCCAACTCCACGCGATCCAACTCAACGCACCCCAACTCCATATGACCCAAATCGACGCATCCCAAATCCACATGACTCAACTCCTATACCACATACTCCAATTCATCACTCCCTAAAATCCAACCCAAGATAATGGGTCACTGTCACCTTCCTCAGCATCTCCACATCCAAAGCCTTTCGTTTTCAAAGCCAAAACGTTTTCAAAGCGTAGAAACCCCATCCCAAAATTCCCCAATACCCAAGACCTCCACACTCCCTCAACTGTCCTCCCATCCATCACCATCAGAATAAAACGAGCACTCATCGAGTCCACAAGAACGTCCCACCCATCTCACCCACGCCGAAAATAATCGCCCTTATTTTCGTTCGCAGGAAGCTCGTCGCCAACGACGGTCGTCACGACGTTCGCGTCGTCGCTGCCTCGTCAGCCTCGGCCGACGCCGCCCAACACTCTGAACCTGACGACGTTCAACGAGCCTCTGGACGTGAAGAAAGAGAAGATCTCTCCTGCTGACAAGCTTTCGCAGAAGCTAATCTCTCCGAACCTGGTCCAGAGCGTTCGTTGCCCGTCGCCGGTGGTCCACAACGTGGAGAGCAACGTGTTGAGCCCTGTCCAGGACACCAGGATCAGCTTCGAGTCTAAGAACGCCGAGACGTCGAAGTCGACGGTGATTGAACTATCGAGGACCAGATTCTCCTCTGTCAGCACTTCCACGTCTAATTTCCATCAGAATGTGTCGACGTTTAACAATCTGTCGTGTACTACGTCGCCTGTGTTACCGGAGATTCGGAACATCATCGCGGAGAATCATTCGGTCGGACAGAATGTGAAGACTCCACCTCCTCCGCCTCCCAGGTGGGCCAAGCCGGGGATCGGGCAGACGCAGAATAATTTTATGGTGACCACCACGGTGACGTTCAATGTGAATCAGGCGAATGACGTCAGCAGCTCCCAGGTGAGTGCTGGAGAAGGGCTGATCGAGGATTAGCACCACCTGGATAGAATGACCACAATAGGTCTAGGGTCAATGTATCTGGAGAGCATTTGGAAGGTTGACACGTTAGGATGTTGAAATGTAGAGAGTCTGACTCATGCAAGTTTGCGATTGACTTAATGTGGACTTGCTGTCGTATGCTTATTGTGGATGATCAATAGAACAAGTCATCTTTTAGCAATGTTGTTATGGTTTCATATTTTGAGGATACAGCTTAGTCCTACTATGTGGACACCCTGTATAGCTTGTTATATCTGTGTTGTCATATGTGGACCTATGCCAGGTCTATTCATCAGATGTTCTGATGATTCAAGACACTGTAGTTTGCCACAGTTTGCTTCAGAACAAGATTCAGATAGCAACATAAATAGATGAAGACTCCTAGTACTTCACATAGACTAGACTAGATTCTATGATACTGAGTTAAGGATTAGGGTATCACTGAGTTACATGTGAACTTCATTGCTGAAACTAGTACTCCTAACTAGTTTGATATTAGTCAAGGTTTCTGTAAACTTGAGCAAATGCCTCGCATCCAGATTTGACACTAACTAAATGTAGCCACACATTTGATATCTAATCCATCTGATAATCCATCTGTAATCCACCTAATTTCTGATTACAGCAGAATACTCCATCGGACCCAAACACGTCGCTGCTGAGTCCCCAAAGCGCTACCTCGAACAAGTCCCTGACCTCAAACTTCTCAGTGAAGTCCCCCCTGTCTCCAACAACCCCGGTCCTCTCGCCCCTCTCAAAGCTAGTCCCAAACACCGGAGCGAAGACTCCCAACGTCCTCTCTCCGACCACGCCATCGAGTACAAGCAAGTCGAAGCGGAGACGCGACCGGGAAGCCCGGAAGAACTCGCAGCACTACCAGGAATCGGACATCCTGGAGTCGTACTATCGTAGCTCACCGGGAGACAAGATTTCCGACTATGAAGACATCTGGAACACGACCGACCAGTCGAACCAGTCGACCTGGTCGCCGAACGACAAGCTAGCGAGGAACGACGGCCCAGCGAATCCTCAGGAGCGGCTGAGGAACTCGAACGACCGGCTGATGGTTCAGGAGAGACAGGTGAATCCGGCCGAGAGGAACTTCAACGAGCGATTGCCTACGAACGAGCAGCTGATCGTGAGGAACGACAGGATGATCGTCAGGAACGACAAGTCCATCGGCAACGAGAAACTGAGTTATAAGGAGATCACCAGCCCGGAGTTCAGCAGCTTCAAACCTGTGCAGGAGCCGAAGCCGACGGAACAGAGCAACGGGTCGCCGGAGGAGACGGGAATGGGAAGGAGACCTGATCTATTGTCACGAGTTTGTGAGTAGTTGACGCTAGCGGCGCATAGTTGGTGCTAGAATAGCAAGCTTATGGAGTATCAAGTTCATGTGGAACCATAAATTGGTTAGTGTGGTGCTTTGTCCTAAAGCTGGAAAGTCTGATCATATATAATTTTTGGTTGAACTGTTTCACATGTTAGATTACTTGATCAGCAGCTGGTTAGATCAGCAGCTTGTCACTTAGTGCCTCATGTTCTTACCTCTTCATGTCCTGTGTTTATTTCATCATATTTTGTCTACTTGTACATGTCTGTCTCTTCATATTTTGTCTACTTCATGTACAAGTCTGTCCCTTCATATTTTGTCTACTTCATGTACAAGTCTGTCTCTTCATATTTTGTCTCTACCTCATGTTCTGTCTTTACCTCATGTTCTGTATCTACTTCTTCATGTTCTACATCCTCTGTGTTTACCTCTTGAGCAATTTGCAAAGTGACAAGATCTCAATGATCATTTTCTGCCTTTGTGACAAAATTACTGACCTAGTCAAGCTACCTAGTCCAACAGGTTTCTATAAATAGATAGCTTCTCTTCGGCATCTAAATTAGATCTAACACGAAATTCTCATGCAAACAGGCAGTGCGAATTCCTTGAACAGTCCGAGCACAGTGACGCCTCCCAGAAACAAATTAGGCCTGATGCTGGCGAAATCAGAGAGCAACAGCCCACTGACACCGGAGTCCAAACAGGGTAGCCCGTTCTACGCGGAACCAGCGGACGCCATCGCACAGAGCGCGGCGATTATACCCAGAAGACGACCCAGGAACAATCCGGCGACGAATAAGTATCGACATAGCGAGCCAGGTTGGCTGCAGACACCGGTTGGCGGGAATCCTAATCAACTTCATCCGATCGACTGGGAGGAGACGGAGGAGGCTGAGGATAAGACGCCTTTGATCTCGTCCTCTGTAGACAACCTGGCCAAACGACTGAGCACCAAAGAGGTGAAGAAAATACCGAGGGCTAAGCCTGTGCAACCACCAAAGATCAGGACGAAGGTGTTCAATGATACCTCGTGGGCTGTGGACTCCAGCTGGGAGTTTATTGGTAATGAACTTACTAGTGTGACTCTGAAGAGGTTCACAAGCACTGTTTTGTCAGAATTAGTATTTCCTGATGAGTTTAGTCATGTAAGAGTCTTTTGGAACATTTGAAAGAGCTAGATATTTAATCCTCAGAGCTAGATACTTAAAGAGCTAGATAGTTAATTCTCAGAGTATTAGGTTCTTAAAGTAATCACATGCACACTTTGTCTCAAGGTCATTCATTGATGTGATATGATTGACGTTAGTTTGTTAGGCTCAGACAAGCTAGGTGACAGAGTAGAATGTGTACATATGTGGGAGATGTACATGTGAGAGATGGGTTACTGTTGTTCATTAGAGGAGCGTGCATTAAGCGAGCATGTAGTATATAGGTTACTGGATGAGTCTGGAATGTGGAATGCAATGATGTGTAAGGAGTGATGCATTGCTGATAAATTTCTGATTGATGTAGGCAACGAAGCAGACGACTGCGAGCCAGACTATGACTGTGATGCTGATTATGAGGGAGATAACGTGGCCAGGAAGTTTCCGGACGAGGAGTGCGACAGGGACGTTGTTGGGAACACTTTGACCGTTCAGAGTATCATCCTCCAACGGTGAGTTTGAGATTTGGTTCTTTTGTAGAGTGTAGGGATCTAAGAACATCTTTCACAATATAGGGATCCAAGGATCCAAGGATCCACTCCTCAGTATACAAATTTAAGAGTATAGGAATGTAATAGAAATACTAAAAATTTTTATGGAATTGTAATAAATAATAAATATTTAAAAATAGATAGAGTATGGAAAATAAGGATATAAGTGATTAGAAGTCTATAAATTATAATAATAAATATCTGAACTTACAAATGTCTGAAAAGGTTTAAATCTTATACCATCTGGTATGTTCATTGTTTGCAAACTTAATTAAAATGTTATATCAGTTTGTGAATGAGACACAAATATATTTTTGACCGATATAATGGTATTTGAGTGTAGAACAATTAATTTGTAAAGTAGAAAGTGATTTGGGAGCCCAATTATTAAAAATTATTATATTTATTTCATATTTTCGCGCGCTTTTTGGAAAAAGTACTACTAGCGCCATCTCTCCGGCGAACGGGGTGAACTACACACTTTTGAAACACCCCTTTCGTTAGTTCCTATTTCCGCCACCAGATGGCGATCAAATCGGTGTCCACCTAGCGGCGAAGGTGGGAACTAATGAAAGTGGTGTTTCAAAAGTGTGTAGTTCACCCTGTTCGCCGGAGAGATGGCGCTAGTAGTACTTTTTCCAAAAAGCGCGCGAAAATATGAATGTAAATAATAACTTTTAGTGAGGAGGCGTTCAAATCACTTTTAAATTTATAAATTAATTACTCTACAATCACCTATTGATTTTTTTATCCTCTTTACAGTTAAAATAACTACTATTCTTTATTTAGAAATTCATACTTGAATATAATTATTATAAAAAAAAGTGAAGACAAACTTATTGAAAATTTATTAGTTAATGAAATAATTATACTTACTCATATAATAATATACTGATGAAGAATGTTTGAAAGATGTTATATTTGATTTATAAAAAATTTATTTAAAGACTTATCAGTGTTTTATAATTAATTTCCAGGTACCCAGAGTTATTGAAACCACCGGACACGTCGGAGTCGCTGTACAGCGACAGGAACTCCTCGTACGACAACGTGGAGAAGAGACACGAGAGGGAAGAAGCGAACGACACTAGGAAGGACCAAACTTACGATTCTTCCGAGTGGGAGACACCCTTGGAGACAGACGAAAGCGACGTGGAGAGGATGAAGAGGAACAAAAGCTTCAAGGAACGCCTCGATCCCCTTCTCTGTAAGTACCTCTTTCATTTCCTTTTTTGTTCAATATTAAACGTAGAGGCAAAATTAATATTATGCAAGCTTAATATTCTAGTCGTTATTATGCAAACTTAATATTCTAATCACTATTTTGCAAACTTAATATTCTAATCATTATTATGCAAATTATATTTTTTAATGGATGTTATTGTTCTACTAATTTTATTGTAATTTCTTGTTGCACTTGATGTTATGTTAATTTTATATTCTGATCAGTGTTATGTTAATTTAATATTGTAGCTAGTATTATGTCTGTATAATATTCTAACTTATTACATGTTTATTTAATATTTTAACTAATGTCATGTTTATTTAATATTCTAACTAATGTCATGTTTATTTAATATTCTAACTAATGTCATGTTTATTTAATATTCTAACTAATGTCATGTTTATTTAATATTCTAACTAATGTCATGTTTATTTAATATTCTAACTAATGTCATGTTTATTTAATATTCTAACTAATGTCATGTTTATTTAATATTCTAACTAATGTCATGTTTATTTAATATTCTAACTAATGTCATGTTTATTTAATATTCTAACTAATGACATGTTTATTTAATATTTTAACTAATGTCATGTCTATTTAACATTCTAACTAATGTCATGTCTATTTAACATTCTAACTAATGTCATGTTTATTTAATATTCTAACTAATGTCATGTTTATTTAATATTCTAACTAATGTCATGTTTATTTAATATTCTAACTAATGTCATGTTTATTTAATATTCTAACTAATGTCATGTTTATTTAATATTCTAACTAATGTCATGTTTATTTAATATTCTAACTTATTATATGTTTATTTAATATTTTAACTAATGTCATGTCTATTTAATATTCTAACTAATATTACGTTTATTTAATATTCTAACTAATATTTCTCTTTTTAATATTCTTCTCAATATTCCCAAATTTAATATTCATCATCTACATTTAAATTTCTAAAAATCTTTAAGTAAACCAATATTTAGCTTCACTTATTACAAAATGATTTACTACTATCTTCTAACTGTAGTTCCAGTCTTCATGTAGCGATAACTGAACTAATTTTTGATAAAATTACTACTTAATGAGTGTACGATGATTAAGGTCGTACACGTGGTCGTAATTGCGTAGAAGCACAGTAAAACTCAGTAGATAACTCAGTAGAATACGGTAAACTATCACAGACAAAAAGACTAGATGAAAAATTATGTAGATCACATAGTGACGTGGCACGACCTCGTTCGAGAGAATTGTTCGAACAAACACGGTCACGGTTTCTCTGCTCCTATTTCGACCGATTCTATCGTCCGACATGATCTGTTTGGAATTATGCTAATAAATATACTCTCGTTTCTTGTCTGCACTGAGTGATAGGAGGATCAAGCTTATCCTGAGTTTCCAGCTGATTTGATGCTTGATCGATGCATTTCAAGTGTGATTGATAGAAAATGAAATTATGAGTCTGATACTGTTTCAAGTAACTTTATAATATTTCTATCCTTGGGTTATTTTTTTAGAAAGGTAAAGAAAATTGTTTTAGGTGATTTATGCTTAATTTTTTATTTTAAATTTCATAATTTTCTTTTTATTTTGGGGTTGAATTTTAAGCTTAATTTTTTATATTAATTTTCATCATTTTTATTTTTATTTTGGGGTTGAATTTTAAGCTTAATTTTAATTTTAACTTGTATGGTTTCAATTTTAATTTTCATCTCAATTTTAACTTTCACAGTTACAATTTTAATCTTAATTTTACTTCTAACTTGTATAATTTCAATTTTAATTTTAGCTTGTATAATTTCAATTTTAATTTTCCTTTCAATATAAATATAAAAGAAGCAATGAACACTGGAACACTATAAGAAAATTTTCCACTGGTAATTTCCTGTCCCCAAAAATTGCAAGAAAACGATGGAATATTCCATAGACCGTAAGAGAGCAATAAAACAACCCCCGTAAAATTTTTGACCTGTCCCATGATACTTTCCCCATTATTAAATTTATACCCCAGGTAACTTCCGACGCCACGTTCGGACTTTCCCGTTAATTATTCTCGAAGGATGGTTTTCTTATTGTTCCATTTGCTCGCCTGTCGACAGTGGAAAAATCCAACGACGTTAAATAATTAAGGGTAGAAATTAAGTGCAACTTTTATATCCATTATCCCATGGAAAATTTCTTATAATTTTATTTCTTGTTTGACCTCTTGAAATTCTGTGTAATTTTAATATTTTATGAAGTCAACTTCGTAAAATTAAAATTGAAGTCATAAAGTTACATTTAATTTTTGTCAAAAAATAGAAGTAGAAGTTGAAGTAATAATTTGATTTAAAATTTCTCTAAAGTTCCATTAAACTTTCATTAAAATTTAACATTCATTAAAATATTTTAACGAGTTAAATATATTTAAAAATTTTTTACAAAATAAAAGTGTTGCAACTTTTAATTTGACGCCACTCGAGAAGTTTTAATTAAATGATAGCGCATTTATCACATTTATTTTCATTTACAAAAATAAAAAAAATATGCATCTCATCTTTCCAAAGTCTCAAAAATTATAAATTTTACAGAGCGTAAATTTAAAAATGTTAATATAAATGTTTCCTCTTTAATTTTAATTGACGAACAAGTGAGATATTCTGGTGTCACATTTTTGCAATAAATTTCCTTGAAAGCCAATAATATTTATTCGCCCAACGCAAGAAACCGTATCACCGTTAAAATTAACGCAAGAGGCTACAACAAACTCGTAATAAACAAATAATACTCATCGATCAGAACAGAAATCTTTTGTCTTATCGTAAGTGACGTATAAACGCAATGCGACGCGGAAATCATTTTATTATCTCATCATTCACGAAGCAAATTGAAGAATTTTCGACAAAGAAACAGAAACGTAAAATACGATAATGAAATCTTATTTTTTTGTGAAAGTTTTATTATTAAATTTCGAAGTTGTGATGTTGTTTGAAATTGTGAGACGGAAAGAACAGAAATTGAAGTATTTCCTCCGCCATTGCCGACGTACGTGATGTGAATGGTACACTGCCATTTTGCGGCGAGTTTTAAAAGAAGTGTTTCAGTTTCTTGATGAATTATGTCATGGTTCTAAAAACATTTCTTTTTGATGTCAGACAAAATTGTGGAAGTTAAATTATTCTTAAGAGACAAAGATTAAGATGAAACTAATTGTTATTTTTAATAGGAAAGTTGGGGATGTTGTTTATGATTGAAGTAGTGAAGGATTTAAACAAGCAACGTTAGATCAAGTGCTAGAAATTGTTCTTTTTAATAGCATGAAGAGTTGCAATGCTGTTTATGTTTATAGTAAAAAAGAAATTAAATAGACAAGATTAGTTCTTGTTAAAATTTTCTTTTAATAACATGTTCATGTTCAAAACACAAAAAGATTTAAATAAGTAAAATTAGTCTTTGTTAAAAATTGTTCTTTTTACTAACACAAGAAGATTAGATACAGCACTGTTTATTTTCAAAATAAAAAACAAATTAAAGAAGTGAAATGATTCTTCTTGAAAATTGTTTTTTCTCATAACTTGAACAGAGACTTCTTGCAACATAATTCATTTTCAAACTAACAAACTAAATTAAACAAGTAAAATAATTCTCCTTAAAAATTGTCTTTTTCAATAACAAAAACAGACTTGTCACAAAGTTATGAATGTAAACAGAAGTAAAAAAAGAAATTGAAGTAAAATTATTCTTCTTAAAAATTGTCTTTTCCCATAACATAAACAGAGTCTCATTGCAACATAATTCATCTTCAAACTAACAAAATAAATTAATCAAGTAAAATAATTCTCCTTAAAAATTGTCTTTTTCAATAACAAAAACAGCCTCGTCACAACATTATAAATATAAAAAATCAAAAAAAGAAATTGAAGTGAAATTATTCTTCTTAAAACTTGTCTTTTTTAATAAAACAAGAGCAGACTCGTCACAACATTAAGTATGCAGAAAAAGTAAAAAAAGAAATAAAGGAATTGAAATTGTTCCCGTAGAAAATTGTCCTCTCTAATAACGTAGGAAGGTTTAAATCGCGATGTACGGAAACAGAGGGCACTTAAGTTAATAGAAGTCGCAAACAAGTTGAAGAAACTTGTTCCCTCTTCCGGAATGCTCCCACGAATACGTAATACCATCTGGACCGTCTGCGAAGTTAGCAAGGTCTGCAGCCGCAACATCGAACCGATTGCTTTGTTCGTATCATCCACTTTTCATCGCGATGAGATCACGGGACACTGGGAAACAGAGACGCAAATGGTCGGAAATGAATGTCTCGAAATGAAGATTGCGAGAGTTCGTTTGGTTGCAGAGATTTTAGGGGATGAGGGAGAAGAATTTGGGGGGTTGGGAGTTTGGGAATTTTGGGATTATGGAGTTCTGGGGTTTTGGAATTTTTAGGATTTGGGGATTTGGGGATTTGGGGATTTAGGGATTTGGGGATTTAGGGATTTAGGGATTTAGGGATTTAGGGATTTAGGGATTTGGGAATTTGGAAATTTGGGAATTTGGGGTTTTAGGGATTTGGGGTTTTGGAGTTTGCAAATTTGGGATTTGGGGATTTGGAATTTTGGAATTTGCAAATTTGGAACTTGGGGATTTGGGGTTTTGGAGTTTGCAAATTTGGGATTTGGGGATTTGGTGTTTCGGGATTTTAGGGTTTCAAGGTTTTGAAATATTTGAATTTGCAAATTTGGCATTTGGGGATTTGGGGTTTTGGAATTTTGGAATTTGCAAATTTGGGACTTGGGGATTTGGGGTTTTGAGACTTTTGGAATTTGCAAATTTGGGACTTGGGGATTTGGGGATTTGGGGATTTGGGGATTTGGAGTTTTGGAATTTTGGGACTTCTGGAACTTGCAAATTTGGAATTTGTGAATTTGTGAATTTGTGAATTTGTGAATTTGTGAATTTGTGAATTTGTGAATTTGTGAATTTGTGAATTTGTGAATTTG